TGTTGTGAATTATGACTTTAGAAATAAAATGTAATTGAATTGAAAAATGGAATAAGTCCCACATGGAAAACATGGGATCATTATCTATCACAGCTTATTAGTCAAGTTGGTTTTAATTTGCAAACAGAAGCCATTTACGTTTGTGGAGGAGAGCGGCGTTGTTTCTGTCAGTGGAGCCATAATGCGCCACTTAAGCTCATGATGGATGTGTTTTTAATGACAACATGAAATATCAGTGCAGTAATTATGCAGGGTCAGTGCACTTGAGCATTAGTGCCTCAGTCTGTGCTCCGTCATAAGGGAGGCTGTTGCTGGAGATGGCACAGTGATGACGCCTGGGTGTGAATGATCCGCCAACAAAGTGAATGATATTTGTTTGGTGACAAGCGTAACTAGGAAAAAAATCGGTCAAGATTATATTTTATTTTTTTTACCATTAAATTTGACAGGGATTTTGGAGCCGGGAGGATTCCGGGACACCTATTGATTCCTGTGAACCAGTGGCTGTTCAATCAATCAATCAAAGTGTATTTGTAGAGCGCCTTTCACACACAGGGCAACACAACGCGCTTCACAGTCCACATCCCCCAAGGCACAAATCATCACATAAAACAAACACCAGAATCACAATTAAAACATTAAAATCACACAAGAAATTAAAACCATGAAGACTTTAAAATTACACAAGGAATTAAAAAATAAATAAATAACCACAGTGCATTAAAAATGGCGATAAAATCCTTCAGTTGTGTGCACAGGCAAACAGAACAGTCTTTAACCTGGACACGAGCTCCGTTTTAACTGGCTTTTTAAACTGTTTGATTTTATAATCCGGCAAATCAAAAATGCTTTGAAGTCCTTTGAGGCGTGTTTGTTTCTTTATTCATATGTTTCAAACCACCATTATGTGAATATATGGTGTGAACTGTGAGGCCTGACTCACTGACTGTTTGTGTAGAGTCTGTGTTCTGCTTTGAGATTATGCTGCAGGTGAATTGCACTTTGGGATCAATAAAGTTTTCTGAATCCTTCACTATACTATTCGGTCAGACTTCCTGATACAGACTGACCGAACGGTAAAGGCAAACAAAAGAACACAAAAATCTCAAGAAATACCAAAGGGCTCAGAGAGGAGCTTCTCACCCATCGTCTGTTCTGCAGTTAGCAGGTTTTCCCAACGTTTCGTCCTTAATCCAAGGAACTTTCTCAAGCTCAGCCGCGGGTTGGAAATTTATAACCTGAGAGTGTGGACTCATTAAGGTCTGCTAAGGTGTGGTCTAGGGTGGCCAACGTTCCGGCTAGGGCTGACGATGCTACCTCATTAGCAAGTCATGTACTACTGTGAGTGTAGTAATGGTTTGTCATGGAACAGTTTTCTATATTTTGCTGTCCCTTCGAACTAGTAAGAGACATGTTCCATATCTGCTGCTTCTATGTGAAGACAAGGTTCGGGTTGCTTTGTCCTCCAGATGGACCATGCCTTTTATAGTGTGACAGAAGTGTTGGAGTTCTCTCAACTTTTTCTCTTACAAATCTCACATGTGTTTAGTAAGAAGACGTCATTTGTGATTCAGCAAATTCAATTATCCATCAACACAAAGTTAACCAAGCTAAAAAGGTCACATTTTAGAATATACTTTATTTTTCATTTGGCTTTCACCGCTTCATTTCGAATAGCCTAAATAGATCTCAATATCCTTTCAAACCCGGACAGTTTTGCAGTGGTGTCCTTGTCCCGTGAGAGGGCTTTTTTCACCATGCTCCACTCTCGTCATCTGCCTAATTCCATTAAAAGCACTGGAGCGATACTGAGCAGAGATCATCCATTTGGACGTCAGCCCACAGACACCGGGGCTCCACTGTGATGGGCAAGCTCAATTTAATCTCGTCAGGACACATATTATGCAAAATGTTGTGTTTTTAATCATGTTACATTGTTCCCTCATCAAAATCAGACCTGGAGTTGAATTTTAGTTTGAGAAGCTTCTGCCACAAACACTTTCACAATCTGTATTAAAGCTGTGTTTTCCAAGTCTCTATGCCAGTGCTTCCCAACAATAGCCCCTGCAAAATAGGTAATTTGTTCCTTTAAATTTATTTATTCTACCTCCGCAACATTGCCCGCCTCCGCCCCTGCCTTACCCAGTCAACAGCCGAAATCCAATCGCATTCATCACCTCCAGACTCGACTACTGCATTAGCCTCCTCTATACGGACTTCCCACCACTCATCTCCAAAAACTGCAATACATCCAGAACTCTGCAGCCCGCCTCCTCACCCACACCCGGTCCAGAGAACACATCACCCCTGTCCTCCAGCAGCTCCACTGGCTCCCCCTTCAACACCGCATTCATTACAAGCTCCTTCTCCTCACCTACAAGTCCCTCCATAACCTGGCCCCGCCCTACCTTACTGAGCTCCTACAATAGCACCAACCCACCCGCTGCCTTCGCTCAGCCGATTCCAACCTCCTCACTCCCATCACCGGCACTAGCCGCCGGACCTTGGGGGACAGAGCCTTTGCCATTGCCGCCCCAAGCCTCTGGATCTCACTCCCACTGCCCATTAAAAAACTCTGACTCACTACCAAACTTTAAATCATTACTCAAAACCCATCTTTTCAAACAAGCTTTTCCGTAAACCCCTTCTTTATTATTGTATTTTATTCCCCATGTGAATCGTCTTTGAGTGTCCAAAAAAGCGCTATACAAGTTTGATGTATTATTATTATTATTACTTACTTACTTACGAGCAGATTACCAAGTATTTTGACAAGACCTTCCGTGGGACACTCAAACCTCCTCGTTGTGATAATGTGAAGTAATTTCTAATATGTATGTGTGTGTGACAGCTGATTTTGATATGAATATGAATCCCGTATGTTGTTCTTTAAATATATGAGTTTACATTACCCGCCTGAGGGCTCAGTTTGAATGTCAGGTCCATTTATCAAAGCTGCTCTCTGCGGAAAACATTAAAGACTACAGCTCTGCAGACACTGAGCCAAGATCAGACTGGATTGGAAAGACTCATATGGTGTTTAGTGGAAATAGTATTAATAAATCAGTAATACCTACTTTTAATATTTGTATAATCTGCAGAACAATATTGGGTTTTATTTAAATTAATTAAAGATTTAGTGTAAGAAGGTCACACATTTCCATAAAAAACAAATAAATATTTTCTCATGTTTTGCCTGGAATGTATAGAAGAGACTTTGCAATATGTTGTGTAACTTAAGGTTAATACTAAAATATCCAAAATATTTAATAAAGCCTTCCTTTCAATAAAAAGGAAGGACGATGTGCAGTTAAATGTTATTATACCTCACCAGGATAATCCACCCATATCTCTGTGAAGAAAAGACGCTTTAGAACCCTTCATGAAAACATAGATTTCGCACACTACCTGAGTGAAACATTTTAATTTCTCAAAACTCCTAGGAAAAGTTTAGAGCTACAATGACTATAATAACTTTATAATAAAGGTGTTTGTCAAACCGTGGTACCTGAGCTCCGTCTGGTGGCACAAACATTCCTCTGCAGTTCAGTTATTTTATTTAGATTAAATAGCGCAGTTCTGGGTGGTAGTCAGGATGCCCAGTAAGATAAGTTTTAGAACCACCGGGTTATCAATAGAAGACTGAATACTGTCATCTAGTGGAGAGATTGTGTCTTTGATATATTTCGGATCTATGTTTTTAATTTAATAAAATCCATAATACTAAAATACAATGGTAATAATAATAATAATGATACATTTCATTTCCTAGGCCCCTTTCTTGACACTCAAGGTCACCTTACATACAAGTAAAAGTAAAAAAAAGTGCATTTTTAAAAACAGTTCAAATACTGTGGGTAATTTTAGGTAATGTTATATAGTAAAGAATAGTATAATATAATATAATCTAATACACACTGTAAATAACAGCAGGTCGTTTGCCTCGCGGATTGTGAACCTCATGAACGTCATGACGTCAGCGTCGTTGCGCGAACCGCTCGGCGCAAAAATTCAAACAGTAAACCGGAAGTAGCTGCTCCGCTGCTGCAGAAGTTTATTCACTCTTTATTTACTTTTTATTCAAGCTGTTACAAGATCCTGGTTATTTACGCGGCGCTGTGCAGAAAAAGGCAGGTTTGTATCGTCACCCAAACGCATAGGTTTAATTACTTTAACAGATGCATTTATTGGTTGAGCTGAACCTCTATGATAAAACACCGCTAGCTAATGATGCTAATAATGCTAACGTTGTTTTGCTAACTTCAGATGGAGAGACGTTGAAGAGATTTTAAGTAATTTCCTGTGGAATACAATGTAGCACTTATATAACTATGAACATGTTTAATGTTAATTGCACAAATTAATTCATCCTATCAGCGTTGTTTGGTGTGTAACATCTAAGTTCGGTTTCCTAATTCTTTTATCGTCATTGCAAGTAACTAGTTTAAGGTATTTGTTTTGGTTCATGGGGCAAACAAATGATTTTAATTTCATTTATTAAGTGCTTAAGTTTCATAAAGCTACATAATGGTTAATCCCATTGGCCTGCCCCCTGTAACTCGCATCAGTTCTTAACAATATAAATTATAACAACAGATTTGCATATGATATATTCATAAATCATAATAATATGATAATAAAGACATGCGTACATTGTCTTGATAATATTCTAATTACGAATGCACACAGTAGACATTTAACAGTGCAGCTAGTTAAGTAGTTCTATATAGCTTGTTTCTAGTCGCATGAATATGTTTTTTAAAAATCCTTTTCAAAATGCATTATTGTCATCCCTTTCACACTTAACTAAACTTGTTCTTCAAACAAGTGTGTATGTTCTTCAAACAAGTGTGTGTATATTCTCCAAACAAGTCTGTGTATGTTCTTCAAACAAGTGTCTGTATGTATTCATTCACAACTAATCTTGGTTGATTCACACACGTGTGTAAAACAAAAAGTAAACCACATCCAGCTCCTAATGAAACATTTCTTCAGCCAAGATGAGTGCGGCCTCCACACCTGTGTCCCGAGTGAGTCGTGGATGGACGTCAAACTCTATGAAAAACAAGGGTATGTCTCCGGCAGCCGCCAGTACCCCGCTGCTCACTGCATTTCCCGGAAACGATGATGAGAAAGAAAGACGCCAGAGGAGGCGGTCGAGAGTAATTGACCTTCAAACTGCCCCAGAGACCTCCTTCAATGAATCTGGTGTTCACAGGTGAGGCATCAGCCAGTAAGCTTTCCACTGAATTGCATGCATTAGTCTTCGCAGAGTTACAAGGAAGAAGGTGTGATGTGTTTCCAAAGCCCTCCATCCTCTTTAGTCTTTGTTTATGCCACTAATGCATGTCTCGAGGGATTCTGAGTAATCCCTTGTTTATATGCAGTGCTGCTGGGACTCCTGCGGCTGTGCCTAAGTTGTCCAACGCTCAGATCTCCGAGCACTACTCCACCTGCATCAAACTCTCCACTGAGAATGTAATTCCCACCAGTCTGAATAATATTGCCTTATTTAACTGTTTCATAACAGATCTTTCCAATTATTTTCTTTTTTTTTCTCCTTTGTAGAAAATCACCACCAAAAATGCCTTTGGGCTGCATCTGATTGATTACATGGCTGATATCCTCAAGCACAAAGACTCTGAGCTCACCAATTTTAAGGTATGATCGTTTTGAACCCACCTCCAGCAGTAAGGATTCTTCACCTGAAATCAGATGTACTTGATCTTTTACAGATTTAGTTTAGTTAAACTTGTAGCGTTTGGCATCACATTTGTCTCACAAATTCTTCTTTATTTTGACTATACATTTTTCTCAAAAGAGCAATATGTGGCTGTGTCTTTAAAGGACACACGTTTTTTATTTTACATTAGACTTAAACTAACTCTAGTGATCCACAAGGGAAGTTATTTAAATATAGAAATAAATCCAAACAGTCTGAGTAAAGCATAAGCAGTACGTGGGCTAATGACCATCATACACTTGTCCTCTTTCAAGGTCGCTGCTGGCACTCTGGACGCCAGCACAAAGATCTATGCGGTCCGAGTGGATGCGGTTCATGCTGACGCCTACCGAGTGCTGGGCGGTCTGGGGGCGGAGACCAAACCTGGAGAGGGTAAGAAACACGGAAGAAAGTATTATGATTTTAAAAAATTGCGATGTTCACAGCTCATTCGCTATTAATTAATTACTCATAATATTTTAATAACAATAATTTCTGGACATATTTTTGCTACTTCTTTAATATGATGTGAACTTTGCAGTTTGCAGCTAAATAAAAATGAGGCTAATGTACAGTATGCGTTTGTATGTGTTAGAGCGTCCTCCGGGGCGCAGGAAGGACACCGCTCTATCTGCTGTTGTTGATCTCAGGAGCTAAAGACAAAGCACACATTCCTGCTTCACGGTGTTTATGTGAACAGCAGTGCGGGAAAACACAATGTTTTTATGTGATTAGGGCTGTTTTCAGAGCAGAGCTTACAGGCTTATTATTTGGACTCAATATTTTGGTAGTGAAAAGAAGTTCATTGTCAAAATAATACAATTGGATTTCCCAGAGTGCTTTGATCATCACAGTAGGCTCAATAGGCCATTAAGTACTGCATAATCGAGATTGAGCTGTGGGGCAGTGGTTCTCAAAATGAGGCAAGATTTCATTTCTAAAATCTTCACTGTATCATGATAAGTGACACACAACACTGGGTTTGATTGAAAAATAACATCTCAATAGCAAAGCTTATTGAGATGTAAAAATGTTTTTACCTCAATTTCAGTTGATATCACAGGAAATGTCTGAACATTTTAGGAGTTACAGGATTCTTTAGTCCAAAAATAAATTTGAAGTAAAAATGCATTCCAGAAAATTGAGCAATGCACCTTCAATGGATTCTTTTAATTATCCCTAATAATATTTGTATGTCTTATAAAGGTCTTAGATCTGACGAGACCAAACTTGGAACTACTCATTGAAATAAATGCACCACTGCAACCAACTGCTGTGATCTGAAGCAGTCTGAACGACAGCACTTCTTTATGAATATTAAATACCAAGTGGCTTTGGTGTCTGTGTAATTCTGTGAGCAGGGAAAGCGGAGGACGGCGATGACGCAGGGTCTGATGTCGAGCCGTCTGCAAAACAAGTGAAAAAGAGGAGACCTCCGAAAAAGACAGTGGAACAGAATTTAAGCAACATCAATGCCCCAGAGTCAGAGAGGAAATGTGAGGTATGTTCATTTGTTCACTTTATAACAATGGGGAACGTTGTCCTTGATTACTAATTGGAAACATTTGGATGATTATGTCAAGGTTTGAGGACTGGATACTAATATTGACTTCCTACACTAGTATTCATGAGTGGGAACTTCCTTATTAGTGATTAAAGGCGAGGAGCTCAGAGAAGAGCCGCTGCTCCTTCAAATCAAGGTGGTGGTATCTCCCTCGGGGGACTCATAACCGCCTTACGAGTCCCCTGGAAATGAGAGACTGGAGGGACCTTGTCTCTCAGCTGGTGTGGGACTCTCCTGAACAAGCTGAAGATCTCATTTAATGTATGAAATAAATGTGAACTGAAGTATACATCAGACTATGCAGTGTGGCACCACTTCTGCATTTCTGGAGCAAATCTAATTTGTGATACTACAGTTTGAACTCCAGAGAAGAGAGGGCTTGATTTTAGAATCAATTAGAGAGATCAACCGAGGTACATAGTGTTGTCAAAAATGTTTTGACTGACGTGTTCAGAATTTGGTACAGAAATAAGGCCAAGATTTCAAGAGTTCCAATAGTACATTTATTTCTCTTTACAATTAAATGTTGATACAGAACTCCTGGAGCTACTCCCTAAATCTATCCCTGTGCTCCAACTCTCCACAATGTGTCCTCCCAACGGTTTTATCAGAATGTCCGATGACGTCACATGGTCTGAGGCTGGTCCCAGTCTGGCCCAGTCCAGTTTTGTGTCTCAGGCCGCTAGAGACACGCTGTTCCTGAAAATGATACTTTTATCACAGAAGCCTTGTCCTCGTGCTTCTCTGAATTCCATTAAATCCAGGCTTTAATATTGCACAAAGACATGTTATACAAACACCTACTGGAAATCATTAGTATACAACATTATAATTCTACAACAATAGGCAAATTCTTAATCCACAAAGACACTATTCCCAAGATGATACTTGACTTGATGAAATTAACTCAAGCCATAGTGTGAGTCCGTCGAAAGGTAATCGGTTGTTGTTGTTGTTGTTGTTGTGGTGCAGGTGGACCCTATGTTCCACAAGATGGCCTCGTCCTTCGATGAGAGCAGTACAGCCGGCGTGTTCCTGTCGGTGTTGTTTAGTGAGAGCAGCCGCTGTGAGCTGCTGTTTCCTTCACACATGACTCTGCTCCAGTCCAAACGCTGCTGCTCCCCTGTGCCGCCTCAGTCTGTGGCCGCCTCACCTTTCATGGGTACAGAATACTCTTTTCAAAGCATGGCTGAATAGAACATGTGGTTTCTCAGTATTTAACATGTTTCTGCTCTGACAGCCGGGCTCCAGCAATCACAAGAGAAAAGTGCCATTTGTCCCTCACTCCAGGATTTCTCTTTCACAAGCTGGAACCCAGAGCAGGTAAAGGAAAGGGCTCTACGTTTTATACAATATATTGATTGTCAGTGAGGGTCTCTTTGGCCTTCAAGCATTACATTCTACACAGAACACAGAAAGGTGGCTCACCCATCAGCTGTACTTCATTTCACAGGTTTTCCAAAGTTTCTGCTGTTTCTAAATACAATTGAGGTGACCAACCTTTTGTTTTGAATAATCTCTGTACAACTGACAGCTTACACAAACTATTTTACAGAAGAGTGTTTCATTTTAGGTCTTCAATGTTCTTGCTTCTTTATTTCTGTTAGAATGTGACCAGGATGCTGTTTTGAGTTGAACACTGAATTTTATTTGTATTTGTATGGAACTGCACAATTTATACGCAATTAAATCTGATTCTACGGTAACACTTTAGATTAGCCCTCGTCCCTCACTAATAGTTAGTAAGATGTTGAATAAGGACTAGGAAGGGCTTAATAAATACAAATTAAGAGCTAATCAACCATATAATATATAATAATTTTCTGTTAATTTGTGAGTGCTACCAAAATGTGCTTTACAAAACGAGTGAAGCAGTTCGTGCTTTGAGACACAGTCGGCCCCTAGTGTTTCCCAAACAAAATTAACACAAAAAAAAAAAAAATCTATTACACAAAAGCTTTGACAAATTTCTATGGCTACGATTTAACCTTCTTAATGAAACCAGGACACATTAGTTTAAATCATGGCACAAACACAGTCTCAATACATGTATCTGAAAGAGACTTCGGCAGTCACAAAAGAGCAGTTCTCCAGCGGCTCCTTTGCAGACGTCCAGGTCACACGCTGTTGATGTTTCAGACCATGAACCAGATGCTGGAGAAGATTAAACAGGGGGAGCATGTTTTTGATGTGAATGCGGAGCCAGAGCCCGAGCCCGAGGAAGACGACTTTGATGCAGACTACGAGGAAGGACAAGGCGACTACGACGATGGGCCAAAGGAGTACAAGGACGGCTGCGAGGCCTCGGGCTCCGGGAAGGGGAGGTACCAAAACACTATTATTATCTTGTAAGAATTTAATATGCAACAATTCCGCCGTAAGCCTTCATTACCCAATTATCAATGAATCAATGAATGTTAATTTGCACATTACTGGAATAAATGAATGATTTGACTGCAGGCTGTACCGACCTCTTATCTCACACAAACAATTTATGTGTGATTTTTTTTTTTTTACCCAATAGAGATTGAATTATGTTGATTGAGAGTTGGAGGAATTATGGGAACGTTGAAGCCTTACGATAACTATGCTAACCCTGTGTTCTATAGAGACGTTATTCCGATCGGAGAAGGAGACATCGCCACCATGTGTCTGCAGCTGTCGTCTCAGCCCAGAGACTACTCCTACTTCAGCCCCAGGACCATGGCCACGTGGGCGGGACCCGGGTACTGGCAGTTCAAACCCAAGCACAAATGTAACTACTGAACTACTGAACCAATTTGGTGATTTCAAGAGTATGTATTAAAGTAATGGCAGTCTGTTTAGTATTCATTTGCACCAGCAGCAGCAGGAAAAACCAGGTTACAACATTGTTCCCTGATCAGAGGCAAACCTGAATCTGTGAAGCCAAATAATTTAATTACTGGACAATGTTCAAGTCAAATTACGTGCTTTACTATTGTGTTACCTGATGGCGCCATATAACATGGCGCCATCAGGTAATATATAGAGAGAATATATAGATATTCATTATTAAAGCAGAATGTACTTTAAATAATGAATTATTGTTGTCCACTAAAGAAGAGCATGAATCAATTTACTTAGTCATTGTTTTAGAATGGCAAACAATATCTTCTGTAGAAAATGTTTAGTGTAAGTCATGTGTGAAGGGTAAAACATGTTTCTGCCTGCAACTGTTATGTGGTGGCATATGTTATTGTTTTGAAACCTGATTTATTAAAGGCGTAAATCAGTAGGCGGTATATAAATAAGATTACTTGCTTACTTACTTAAATCCACATAAGAAATTGCTAAAGCTAATTTCACAGGCTGGGAACTGGGAAATACCTTTGTCAGAAAACTACTTTAGTGGTTCAAAGACGTCTTACTTTTACAGGACTGAGACAGAAGGGGCGGAGTTACATGTTTGTGCCTGATTTTAGTATGAATGGATCTGTTAACAGGGAGGGCGACAGTAGCTCAGTTGGTAGAGCATTGGCCTTAAGGCCTGAAGGTCGTGGGTTCAATTCCCACCTCTACACCCTCTGACTCCGGTTTACTCTCCATCCTCATCCTTCTGGACCTCACTGCAGCTTTTGACACCATTTCTCACTCCACCCTCCTGAACAGACTCTCCTCCATCGGCATCACCCACACCCCCCTCGCCTGGTTCACCTCCTATCTTTCTGGTCGCTCACAGTTCATTCATCTCAAATCCCACAAATCCCGCACTTTTCCTGTCTCTGCTGGTGTGCCCCAGGGCTCTGTCCTGGGGCCCCTCCTCTTCATCATCTATATTCTCCCACTCGGTCACATCCTCCGCCGTCACAACATTCACTTCCACTGCTACGCGGATGACACCCAGCTCTACCTCTCCACTAAACCATCTTCCTCTCTCCCTCCATCCTCCCTCACCCTCTGTCTACAAGAAATTCATTCCTGGTTCTCTTCCAACTTTCTCAAACTCAATAGCTCAAAAACTGAAGTCCTTCTCATAGGCACCCCCTCCACTCTCTCCTCAAATCTACCAGCTTCTCAATCTCCATCCATAACACATCTGTCCTCCCCTCCCCTCAAGTCAAGAGCCTGGGTGTCATCCTCGACAGTTCACTCTCCTTCCAATCCCACATCAATAACATCACTCGGTCTGCCTACTTCCACCTGCGCAATATCTCTCGTCTCCGTCCCTCTCTCACCCCCCACACCACCGCCATCCTCGTCCACAGCCTCGTCACCTCAAGGATTGACTACTGCAACTCACTTCTCTTCGGCCTCCCCAACAAATCCCTCCAGAAACTGCAGCTCCTCCAAAACTCTGCAGCTCGTATCATCACCCGGACCCCCACAGCTCACCACATCACCCCCGTACTACAACAACTCCACTGGCTTCCTGTCAAACAGCGCATCAATTTCAAAATACTCCTCACCACCTTCAAAGCACTTCACAACCTGGCCCCTCCGTACTTATCTGACCTCCTCCACCCTCACATTCCTGCCCGCACACTCCGCTCCTCCTCCACCCTCACACTCTCCGTCCCCCCAGCCAGACTCATCACTGTGGGACACAGAGCCTTCAGCCACTCTGCCCCCCAGCTCTGGAACTCTCTCCCCCCTGACCTCCGTACCATTGACTCTCTTCCACTCTTCAAATCCCGACTCAAAACCCATCTGTTCAGACTGTCCTACCCCACCTAACACACACGCGCGCACACACACACACACACACACACACACACACGCACACACACACCCTCCTAACACACACACACACACACCATCCCATATTGCACCTGACTACTGTTTTATTCTGTTTATTCTGTTTTTAAATGTTTTTATTATGCCTGTACAGTGTCCTTGGGTGTTTTGAAAGGCGCTTTTAAATAAAATGTATTATTATTATTATTATTATTCTCCACCGACTCCCACTGATGACTGCTGTCGTTTTGTCCTTGGGCAAGACACTTAACCCTACTTTGCCCAAAAAAAGCCCCCACTGTAAGATCAAGGCCGCTCAGAGAGCAGCCGTCCTCCTTGGGTGGCATCTCTGACTGCCACCCCCCTGACCCAGAAATGGATTAAAGGGTAGAAAATGGATGGATGGATGGATGGATCTGTTAACAACTCCAGGTCTGTTGTTGATGAGGGGAAAAATGTTTAAATGTGGTTAAAAGTTCTAAAAAATCTACCATATTGTCTTGTTTTATGATTGTGCAGCTCATATTGACAATCACTCGTTCATATACAGTATTCATTATGTAAAAAAAAATTAGCTCATGTTTTAGAGGTCAAACAAACACAGCTGCATGATATGCGTTGTTTATTTTCTGTGTTATCTCTAGTGGATCACATGCCCGATAAAGAGAAGCCCAAAAGGAAACCGAAGAAAGCGTTTGAGATCGATTTCAGCGACGACGTGAACTTTGACACATATTTCCGCACAACAAGGGTAAGAAGAGCTCAATATTTGTCAAAACAAAGTCATTTACAGTAAAGTCCCTCATTGTAAAGCGGTTCTCCAGTCACGGGCTCTCTGGTTTACTTTTTATTTCATTTTTTTACAGTGTCTTTCTCATGCAGCATCATATAACCACTAGTTTAACATGGCCACTACCTTTATCCAAAATCGGAGGAAAACCTTTGTGGCTTGTATGCCCCGCTGCGGTTAAATTTTCTTGTCCCCAAGGGGAAAATTGTTAGCATGTGGTGGAGCAGTAAAATAAATACTAATAAGATAAAAATACAACAATTACAATATGGCACACATCAGGGGCACAGCTTAATCAAGAGGAAACATAGATAGATACTTTATTGATCCCCGTAGGAGAAATTCAAGTGTCCAGTAGCAGCAAAAAAAAAAAATGTAATTGATAATTCTGAAAAGCTAACAATAGTAATAATCCGCAACAGTCCTTCAGGTCACAACAGCAGAGGTGGAGTAGCCTCTGGGTTCAGGAGGACGGGTCACAGCAGCAGAGGTGGAGTAGCCTCTGGGTGGAGCAGGACGGGTCACAGCAGCAGAGGTGGAGTAGCCTCTGGGTTCAGGAGGACGGGTCACAGCAGCAGAGGTGGAGTAGCCTCTGGGTTCAGGAGGACGGGTCACAGCAGCAGAGGTGGAGTAGCCTCTGGGTTCAGGAGGACGGGTCACAGCAGCAGAGGTGGAGTAGCCTCTGGGTTCAGGAGGATGGGTCACAGCAGCAGAGGTGGAGTAGCCTCTGGGTTCAGGAGGACGGGTCACAGCAGCAGCGGTGGAGTAGCCTCTGGGTTCAGGAGGATGGGTCACAGCAGCAGAGGTGGAGTAGCCTCTGGGTTCAGGAGGACGGGTCACAGCAGCAGTGGAGTAGCCTCTGGGTGGAGCAGGACGGGTCACAGCAGCAGAGGTGGAGTAGCCTCTGGGTTCAGGAGGACGGGTCACAGCAGCAGAGGTGGAGTAGCCTCTGGGTTCAGGAGGACGGGTCACAGCAGCAGAGGTGGAGTAGCCTCTGGGTTCAGGAGGACGGGTCACAGCAGCAGAGGTGGAGTAGCCTCTGGGTGGAGCAGGACAGGTCGAAAGGTGGAGTACCCGCTTGATTCAGACCATTTTCTCTGCTCTTGTCCAAAGTAAAAAGCTACATTAGCATTTTTCAAAAAGTTAGCATTTCTCCAGTGGATTTTCACCTGATCCACTTGGTTTGGACCATGAATCCTCTTCGCTCTGGTCTGGACCAGTGTAAAACCATGAACACTGCACTGCACCAACATCTCAGGTAGAAAAAAGCAATAAAAATAAAAATTGTAAAGCACAAAAAGATCAACTGTTTTCAGAGCTACTTCCAGCGCATTCGTGTGAACAGATTAACTGGAGTTAGTCATTTCTACGGCCATTTGTCCAAAAAAAGCAAGAGCCATTTCACACGATTTGACAGGAAACCGTTGGACTGTTATCACAAGATTTGTATCTGCGTTTAGTGTGTGACGCATATGACCGGCTGACAATTTTGGTTTTGGTGCCTTTATGACTGATTCGTGACCTGGTTCCATGTACAAGAATGAATCATTGAAATTTTCACATGAAAAAAAGAAATTGTGAATGTTGTGATAAATTGTCCCCTGTGAATCTATACAACCTGTTATCATTGTGTGTGTCTGTTGTGTGTACATGGTGTGCACTTAAGTTGTATGAAGTAGACATTTTAAGACATAAACAAGATATAACCATTTTTGTATGAATATCTTTTTATACATGCCTTTTATATCTGTTTTTTTTCTTGTAGCGTGTTTAAGCCAAAGCAAATTCCCAGTTTGTGACTGCCTGTTACTTACAATGGCAATACAAGGATTCTGCTTGAACATAATAAGAAACCATGAAAACACGGCTTCAAGCTTGTAGTTAAAATGTCGACAAACAGAGTCGAACTTGGAACGCCTCGGAGCAGTTCATGTACATAATGTTGATGCCAGTTTTGGTATTTTTCTGTGCCTGTGCCTCTCCCTAAAACACCTGTATTTATGTGTGTTCCCTGTTCTTCTGCACAGGCTGCCACCACAATCGCTAAATCCACACTTACCACATGCACAAAGAAAACTACTTTACCAGCAGACTTCCAGTTCCCCCCAGAGACGCTGTCCCAGCTCAGCCTCAAGCCCTCCAGCTCTGTAAGTCTGCCCAGACGGACTCGTGATTACTGCAATAACAATAGTTCATGTTAATAGGAATACAGTTCAATATTTGCATGTAATGTAGTTTCCTGTTTGTTCTAGCTACACCAAGAGGCGCAGAAAAGGTTATCTGGTGAACTTGGGGAAGGTATCGGGGATTATGACTATAACAACGCAAACGACACGGTCAACTTCTGCCCTGGTCTTCAGGTTTGTGTCACTGCTTTTTCTGTATCGCCTTCTTTATCGAGGACGCATTTTTACAAGGAAATATGTTTGTGCCAACAGAAAGTCTTGGAATAGTAAAATGTTGTGAACAAATCAGTTCAAATATTCACTCTTCATCTTGATATTTTTATATTTAATAATTGTTTACGGTTCTTATTCCTATGATGTTTTATTATTTGCCAATGTTCTCTCTCTGTTGCACCCTGGGCTGCTTCTGTATGAACGGTGCTTGATAAATACATTTTCCTTGCCTATTTGAAGCTGAGTGAGGATTCTTCTCGCGATTCCACTTTTCTGTCCCAAAAAGCGGATCTAAAGATGTGACTGAGGCCAAAATAATATACATGCATCTGAAATCAATATTCATAGACAGTATTTAGAGAGACAATGCTAACCCCGGTTCTCAATGAAAGCCAATCGGGAAGTGACAAAGTTTTGCTCCAACTCGCTCTGGCTCCTTCTGACTTGAAAAGTAAACTCTAGCTCAGTAACTGTCAGTGTCACACTCACTATTTTGGGCTTTTAACATTTGCGGTGTAGTCTTCTCCATGATCCTGTTGTTTTTTATTGTGATATTGTCTTAAATCTTAAATCCAGATATAAGCCTTAAAGGTATATAGGAGGATTTTCTACTTCCGGATTGATCGTTAAGAACATTGGTCCTCCCAAATGTCAGTCATTCTGGTGATATGTGCCCGTCAAATAAGACCTTGGTGTAGTTTTGTATAAAAAGTGGAGAAGGCGGTTCTTTCCTAACATTTTGGAAAATCCTTTACATATGTTTACCTTTTATGATTGACCTAAGGCTCAATACAAATTACGCATTTTATGAATGTAACTTTTATCATCATCGTATGTGGCTGTTTTTATGCATGAGTGATGTTACCTTTGATGTAATCCTCTTCAGGGCGGAGACAGTGACGACGACGCAGAAGGCTTCGCTGGTTCAGACGACACGCAGCCCTCAATGGACAGTCTTCCTCCTTCTCAGGACTTGGCCAATGTCTCCACATACGGAGAAGACGAGCTGGTCCCCGAACCCTTCAGAGTGAGTCTATGATCCCACCTGATGTAAAAACAGATACAATGCCAACTAAAACTATGACATGGTGGCTGGGTGGATAGCACTCTCGCCTCTCAGCAAGAAGGTCCTGGGTTCGAATCCCGGTTGGACCAGGGCCTTTCTGAGTGGAGTTTGCATGTTCTCCCCGTGTCTGCGTAGGTTTCCTCCGGGTGCTCCGGTTTCCCCTACCACTAAAAATATGTACAATAGGTCTGACATGTGCCTCCTGTACTGGCACCCCCACTCCCAAAAATAACAATTGTAAACCGCTTTGAGACTCCGATGTGCAGTGAAAAGGCGGTATATAAATAAAGATTACTACTACTACTACTTACTACATTAACTCCTGTTCTTTTTAGGTGAACAAAATCGAAATAAATTATGCAAAAATGGCGAAGAAGATGGACATGAAGAGACTAAAGAACAGCATGTGGACCCTTCTGACGGATAGCCCAGAGAAGTCTAAGGAGGTGATGGACTTTAAAATGATTTTCTTTTTGAGCCTAAAATGCAGTGAATATAATTTGCGTGTGCATTAAACATGAGGCCGGTCTCATATTCCACACCTTGATGTGTCGCAGCAGGAGGTGGAGCCCGCGGAGAATCCAGAGGTGTGCGGAGAGAAGGCGTTCAGCCAAACCACCAAGTCTCTGCTTCAGAGGTAACCGCAGACAGGAAGTGGGAAGGAATATTTTTATGTTGAGCATAATGCGGAGATACAGAGGCTTCAGTAATGAAACATGTTATCGTTCAGAATATGTCTTTACAAGCTGGACGGATCTGTAAAATGTTTTGATGGTCGTTACAGTAGTAGTAGTAGGGACAACATTTGGTATGTCTGTGGCCCCATGACAAGTATTATAATTTTGAGGTTAAAAAAAATGTGTTTATTGTCAGAAGAGCATTGATACAAAATTGCTGTTGTATCCAAATTGGTATCAAGTAGGGCTGTAATTCGTGATTATTTTGATAATTGATTAATCTGGAGATTCTTTGGATTCTTTGGATTACTCTATCAGTATTGATTGAGAAAAGGTCAGAGAATATTGGTTTATTTACTACATTTAATCAAAACTATGCTCTAGTGATTCCCCTGGAGAAAATCTTCATTGAGACAAGACTTGTTTGTTTGTTTTAATATACTTTGTTAACACTTTTTTGTTTCATTATAGAATTATCTGAGTCATAAAACCTCTTTGCAGCATTTTTAAATCTATGTAAGGTCCACAAAACAATGAATGGATTACTGAAATGGTTGTCAACGCATTCAATTATCAATTATCTGCGAGCTAATTGATTCACTTGTTACTGCAGTATGAGTATTCTCTACTAATCGTACGCCGTTTTGGTCACATGGCCAAACCTGCAGCTACAAAGATATATTTTATTTGTTATTATGATTTGAGAGGACGCATGAAGCTTCATCAATTATTATTATTATTCATTAAATACACCAATATATCTTATATTTGTTGATTTGGGGTTTTCTTTAACTCCTCTATCTCTGACGACAATCCTCTCGCTCATGTGATGTTTGTTTTTGCCCAGTTTACCGAACACCATGGCCCAGAACCTGTCAGTGCCTCTGGCGTTTGTGGCTCTGCTTCATCTCGCAAACGAAAAGGTGAGAGATAGAAGAAAACGCCTTCCTCTTGGGCCAAATATTATAAATGTTTTACCCATTCACTTCTTCAATCAAAATAACACCACAAAAAAAGCCGACAGCAAGACAGCACTGCGGAAGGACAACCCTCTGTGGGTAGTTCCACATTGCTCTTTTCTGGGTCCTCAATGTCGCCTTAAAAACGGACAGTGACATGTAGGGCAGTGTCCCCCAACCTTTCTGAGCTGTGGCAACCCTTTTTCATGTAATACTATCTCATGGCACACCACCAGCGGAAACTGCAGCCTTTAATAGCAAAACAAAGTCGTCAAAGTGTATTATAGAGAAAATCAGAAGTATTTCTAATCTTCTAATTCTTTCATTTTTTCACAATAATTTCCCCAAATAGGTGATATTGGATCATTTCCCAAGGCACACTGAATAACATCTCAAGGCACACTAAGGTTCCCCGGCACACAGGTTGAAAAACACAGATGTAGGGTCACAGTGAGAAGTCCGAAAAGATCATTTTGGAAATTTGGGGGAGTGACTGTTGCGGCAGTCGGGGGAAAGTTTGTTCGAGAGCGACTGAAGGTGAAGACTCTACTCCGGGTGGTGACGAGGAGGAGCCAGGAGCAGGAGGGAGTGGGGAGGTGGAGGAGCTCAGAGATATGGAGCGGTGGCGAGGCTATATATGGCTTTGAAAGTGAGGTGCAGCCATTTTTGTACAGTGCAGTGAGCGATGGGAAACCAAAAATGAGGAACGCTTCAAGACATTTACAAATATCCATATGTGACGTGTCAAAATGCATCACCCAGCCCTAATGAAGCTGAGATTTTCTTTTAACCTTTTTTATGTTTTCATTTCAGAACCTGGAGCTGGTGAAGGTGGACGACATGTCAGACATAATCATCAAACAAGGCAGTTGAGCTGAAAACCTGCACTCTTTTACTCTGCACATTGTAACATATTAAACTGTCTCTTTCCACTTTTACTTCACGATCATTGTATTTTTAGATGTATTTTCTGCATTATTCCAATTTTTTACCAAGAAAAAATATTGTCAATGAAAATAAAAGGCTTTTTTCTAACATGGGTGGCACGTAAATGTTTTTAGTAAAGCCCATGCCCATGTCATATTTGTTTGACTAGGGCACAAGATGGATGTATTTAAGATTTTGTCATCAATGGTTGTAATGTGTATGATGTTACTTCTGGGTTAGCTTCGTAATTGGCTCTAGCTAGCTTATGTTCACGTCGACTTCTTTGATTCGTTGACAAATTTTTAACAATATCGTAATTTTCTGTGTCTCACCTATACATTTATATGACAGTTTCAACCTTATTTAAACGGGTGGCACATCAAAACTACTGTTATTTGTTAAAGAAGTATTCGAAAAGAGAATGTTTTATTAATGCCTTTTGACAAATTACGGCCATTTAAGGATGTCTTGACATGAAAATGTTACATATTGTTACTTTAAGAAATACTATTACTTCCAGTATTTTTTTTAAATTTTTTTTTACATTTTGTCCAACATTTATTGGGGAAAATAGTCCGTAATTTTCTTCAGATTTTTGGCTATTTCCTACCATTATAATAACCACAGCAGTAATGGACAGTGTTTATTCAACTTTTGAAGAGCTTGCAGGCAAATTGTGAATGTAATGGCGTCAATTATTTTGGGCTGCTTGTGATTCAGGGGCTGTCTGAAAGTGGATAATGAAGAGAATTTAAAAACACAGTGGAAACCAAAGGATTTGTTAATCAGCCATAAAGAGGTTAATATTAAAAATAAATGTGTGAAATAGTGCTGCGTTTCAGTGATTTCAGTTTTAGTTTAAATTGTGTTTCATCTACACGGACCACATATTTATTATTGACAGACACAGGTCAATGAGTTCTGTCTTCAATGAATTATAGCAATTATCTATTTGATATTCCTACTTTGTCCATTGTAGCCTTACCCTCACCCTAAAATGCAATATTTATGACATTAGAAAATCCACATTCTGTTCTCTCAAAACTACTTTTGCTGGACATTATCATATGCATGTCATTAAATATATATATATATATATATTTATAATGTAAACCAAAGGGGAAACAGCTCTTTAATAATTAGGGCTCAAACAATTAATCAAACTTAATTATTTGATCAAAAGGAGCGTTGATGTGATTTCCTCGATTAATCGGATAATTGTTATGTTTGTAACCATGTGGAACTCACCCTAAACATACAGAAATGTTTTTTATGCAGCTGTTTCTGTGTGACACCACCATAGACAGTAAATAACTTCTACTGCATTTATATTGATATATTTTAGGTACATTTGACTCAGCTGTGAAAGGGCAATTACAGTCTATTCCCAAATTGTACACGCCTTGGTCCATGAAATGTCTTACTTATTAAATTAACTTATAATTATAAATGTGTATGGTTTTAGAAGAAGAAAAAATAGATTGAAGTGATGGGAGATATCTTTTCTTTTATATATAGATTTGGCGATATTCACACACGATGTGATTTAGAACGTTTTTATTATTATTATTATCATTATTATTATTATTTACAAAAGGACATATATACATATACAACGATAAAAACAATGACGAAGACAAAAACAAAAATATTTACATTATATACAGAAAGTTTTATCATTTTTAGCAACACCTGAGTGACGTCATCACGTTTTATGTTTTGACTGTCTCCTTCAAAATAAAAGCCGTAAATAAAGAAATTAATCTGGACAACACGAACCTTCTTAAACACTGAGAAAACAACGTGACCTACTTATTTCTCGTCTGCATTCCTCGGACTGTTTGTGATTCATTGAGCCAGAATCTAAACCTGAAACTTGTCATCGGAGAAAAAAAAAACAACAACCAGGAAGTAAAACAAAAAAAGGAAACGTATTCATTTCTACGGAGCTGTGGAGAAAGTTGCCAGGCTGTTCCAAAACTACTTGATCTGGCTGTAAAGTTGGGATTATTTGTTGTTTAAAGCTGCTGCACACGCCTTTTATCGGGGGACATTACATCCGACAAGATGGACTACGATCCGGTGAGTTTTAACATGTTTTTGTCGCTGATTAAAAAAAAACTACGGTCCGTCGCCATGTTTGTCATCCACAGGTGTTTTCCGCATTTATTTAACAAAAGACGCATATTTAATTATACTTTGTTATTGTTTAAACATTGTTCAAAGATCAAACAAAAGATGCCAGGGGGACATCATGATCAGTATTTCAGAAGAGAGAAGTCTAAAAGTAGATGGCTGACATTCTTTACATTTACTACTATAAACTATTAATACTAATACTGTTAACCTGAGCTTCATTCTTTGATATTTTTTTTATTCTTCAGTGGCCCCTCATTAAAGCGTTGCCTCCATTTTACTTTAAGCCTGTCTTATTGTGATAAACATTTTTTATTGATTTATTTTTATTTATTTATTTACTTGAACAGTTAAACACAAAAGGAGTGGGCAGAAGCAAAAAGCTTATTAGCACCAGACCCCCAACGTCAATTACAATCAAACTTTATATATTATAATGAAAATAGTACAGAACAAGGATACAAAGAAAAGTATATGTCATGACTTTGACTTCACTGACCAGAGAGAGACCAGGGAGAGAGACCAGGGAGAGAGACCAGGGAGAGAGACCAGAGAGAGAGACCAGGGAGAGAGAGACCAGGGAGAGAGACCAGGGAGAGAGACCAGAGAGAGAGACCAGGGAGAGAGAGACCAGGGAGAGAGACCAGGGAGAGAGACCAGGGAGAGAGAGACCAGGGAGAGAGACCAGTGAGAGAGACCAGGGAGAGAGACCAGGGAGAGAGACCAGGGAGAGAGACCAGGGAGAGAGAGACCAGGGAGAGAGAGACCAGGGAGAGAGACCAGGGAGAGAGACCAGGGAGAGAGACCAGGGAGAGAGACCAGGGAGAGAGACCAGGGAGAGAGACCAGAGAGAGAGAGAGACCAGGGAGAGAGACCAGGGAGAGAGACCAGAGAGAGAGACCAGGGAGAGAGACCAGGGAGAGAGACCAGGGAGAGAGAGACCAGAGAGAGAGACCAGAGAGAGAGACCAGGGAGAGAGACCAGAGAGAGAGAGAGACCAGGGAGAGAGACCAGGGAGAGAGACCAGGGAGAGAGACCAGGGAGAGAGACCAGGGAGAGAGACCAGGGAGAGAGAGACCAGGGAGAGAGACCAGGGAGAGAGACCAGAGAGAGAGACCAGAGAGAGAGACCAGGGAGAGAGACCAGGGAGAGAGACCAGGGAGAGAGACCAGGGAGAGAGAGACCAGGGAGAGAGACCAGAGAGAGAGACCAGGGAGAGAGAGACCAGGGAGAGAGAGACCAGGGAGAGAGACCAGGGAGAGAGACCAGGGAGAGAGACCAGGGAGAGAGACCAGGGAGAGAGACCAGAGAGAGAGAGAGACCAGGGAGAGAGACCAGGGAGAGAGACCAGGGAGAGAGACCAGAGAGAGAGACCAGAGAGAGAGACCAGAGAGAGAGACCAGGGAGAGAGACCAGGGAGAGAGACCAGGGAGAGAGACCAGGGAGAGAGACCAGGGAGAGAGACCAGGGAGAGAGACCAGGGAGAGAGACCAGGGAGAGAGACCAGGGAGAGAGACCAGGGAGAGAGACCAGGGAGAGAGACCAGGGAGAGAGACCAGGGAGAGAGACCAGGGAGAGAGACCAGGGAGAGAGACCAGGGAGAGAGACCAGGGAGAGAGACCAGGGAGAGAGACCAGGGAGAGAGACCAGAGAGAGAGAGACCAGGGAGAGAGACCAGGGAGAGAGACCAGGGAGAGACCAGAGAGAGAGAGACCAGAGAGAGAGACCAGAGAGAGAGAGACCAGAGAGAGAGAGAGACCAGAGAGAGAGAGAGACCAGAGAGAGAGAGACCAGAGACAGAGAGACCAGAGACAGAGAGACCAGAGACAGAGAGACCAGAGACAGAGAGACCAGAGACAGAGAGACCAGAGACAGAGAGACCAGAGACAGAGAGACCAGAGACAGAGAGACCAGAGACAGAGAGACCAGAGACAGAGAGACCAGAGACAGAGAGACCAGAGACAGAGAGACCAGAGACAGAGAGACCAGAGACAGAGAGACCAGAGACAGAGAGACCAGAGACAGAGAGACCAGAGACAGAGAGACCAGAGACAGAGAGACCAGAGACAGAGAGACCAGGGAAGAGAGACCAGGGAAGAGAGACCAGGGAGACCCACTGACAAAAGGACAAAACAGATTTTAAGTTTATGATTCAAGGCAGTTTCAGTCACACTTTGAACTGTTCTTCTTCTTATCACCAGAGTGAGACACAACTACAGTCTGGTTAAGACAGATCTCCACAAAGCAAGAGACACAATATCACCATATAATTATTTTAAATATACTGACAACAAGTTACTGAGAACAGATTAAACCCATTTCACTCAAAAAAGAGATGTTGCCGCTAGAAAACAGAGTATTTTTTATAAAATAGGCAGTGACCTTATGTATCATTTATTATTTGTGCATTCGTTGAAATAATGATCCACAGGTAAAGCTTGTGCCATTTGAAGCTGTATTTGGGACATAATAGAAAAGTTCAGCTTTGGCCCTTTTTGTCTAGGCCTGGGAAACTATGGCCCCATTTTATTGGCCTCTGAGATTATACTGGTGTAAAAACTGTAATTGACAACATGACCAGGTAAAACTGTTGAATGAAGTATTGTTTATTGTTTTGTTTTTTAATCTTTGCTGTCAGACCTGAGTTGTAAGCTTCCAGCATTCCCCCCATTCCAAACCTGCATGTTTATTCTTGTTTATATTTACATGTTAAATGGCTTTGTGGTGAATCTGCAGGTTTGAAATACATAAATAATTTGGAGAGTTCATAAGAATTGTGAAAAAGATGAGATATTTAATTTTGAATGAGAAATATATTGTCTTTCTGAGTGGAGTTTGCATGTTCTCCCCGTGTCTGCGTAGGTTTCCTCCGGGTGCTCCGGTTTCCCCTACCACTAAAAACATGCACAATAGGTCTGAATGTAAATGAGAGAGTGAATGGATGGTGTTGGAGCTGATGGTCCAGTGTGTTCTGGACTCGCTTCTGTCATCACCGTGTGTGGAAGGATTGGAACAATATCTGACTCTGAACATTGTAAAGCGCTTTGGGTGACCTTGGTCTGTAAAATGCGCTAAAATAAACATTACTGTAAAATAAATAAACATTACTTACTCACTTACGTTAATGCAGCAGCCCTAGTTTGTAGGAAATGTATACAAACAATTCTACATGTATCCAAAAACCACCCCTTTGTATCTACACCGTGGGAATGCTGAAGAAACAGACAGAGCTGTAATTTGAATAAATCCTTATTGAATTCATCAAAAACTAGTACTGATTTATACTGCCTGATTAGAATAGATTAGGGCTTTACTGCTGAAATTCTAAACGATTCCACACACAAGGAAACACTGCACTGGACCTTTTATGGCAGCAAACTCATGATACCTTTAGTGTGAACCTGCTTTGTTCTTCTAAGATCCTTCCTATCAGCATAATACAGGGTTCTCAAACTTCTCAGTTAGGGCCCCCTACGTTTTATATGTGGCAGAAAATGCTACGTCCACGGTTTTGTATTTGAGGGATGACTGTGCTCTTTGTCATAGTTTCACATGAATTATTGTGTTGTGTGTCCATTAATGGGAGAAATGCAGTGACAGTATTCTAGGTTTGTCAGTGTGGATGCCACCCCCCACTTTGAGAACCCCTGGGATCACGTCTCCACAGTAGCACCGGTAGCTTCTGTGTCCGGCCCTGTGTGACTGGATCAGGGAGGACCTCAGTGACGCAGCAGGTTTCTATGGACACCCTTTGTTTACGTTATGTCACTCTCTCCAGGGACACGGGCCGACAACACTCCTTTTGCATTTCTAATAATCAGGATCAAGAAGGCCGTTAGAGGATTAATTCAACATAAGACAGTGCAATACAAATAAAATGAAATGAGAACAGAACAAAAACGTGCCAAGCCTAGTAGAATCAATCTTAATGTTGTTTTTCCATATACATCATCCACTTCCCCCATTTCTTCTTTAATTGAGCCTCTTTCAGTCGTAGTTTGTGGGTTATCTTCATCATCTTGTATTCCAGTTCCTTGTTATTATTTTTTTAGCAGCCAAAGACATAATTTTGAACGAGTATATGTCTCGCTGATAAATGAAGTCATCTGAAAAGTTGAACAGATGGAGCAGATCAGGGGTCACTGGCACGTCATACCCAAACAGACCCATCACTATGGAAACAGTTTTCAGAAATACAGATACACCTGGACATTTCCAAACTAAATGTGAATGATCCACATCCACGCCAGCAGAACTGATGCTTCTTTAGCTGTGTAATGAAGAATCTAATAAGGTTCTTCCAGGCAAACTCTCTCCACATCCGAGAGCCGGTGGTGGTGGTGCCTTCACATATCTGACCAGTTTTTATCCTCAATCTTTAAGTTGAATTCTTGCTCCCATTTGATTTGAATGTTGTGTGTTTTTGTAGTTCTGTGAGCGCTTTATATAATGCAGAGATTATTCTAACATTTCCACCTTTTGTAGGCTTTAGCTATTGTCTGGACGACGCTATTCTCTTCATATACGTCTTATGTATTTTAAAGGAGGCTGTGTATCATTTAGGTCCAATAGCAGCGTCATCTCTTACACAATGCACATAGCTTGCTCACTACATAATGTTTCATATCCTTTCTTTACCCTGTCAGATTGAGGGTGATTCATGCATTGTTTGAGTAATCTTCATCCTTCAATATTGAGATAAGCATAACTCTAACTTCTTGGGGGATATTTTTGACAAAATCGAAAAGATGAAGAGGCGGCTTCACTTTCTAATTTCTTTTTCTGTCTCTGTCATGTTGTGATTTAGTCCAATTATAAATGTAGAGCCGCCTGCACATGTTAACACTTTTTAAATTCAACATATTTAAGTTCAATGTTACTAAACTTTCTTCATAGTCAACCAATAGATTATTTAGATTGGTTCTAGCTTTTTTTTTTGGCGCAGTTGTGCTTCACAGCTAGATTGTGCTGGGTTCAGTTTCCCCTCCAGATGTTGTCTTTCTGCGTGGAATTTGCATGTTCTCTCCGTGTCTGCATGGGTTTCCTCTGGGTGCTCCAGTTTCCACGACCACTAAAAACATGAACTATATTACGAGGTCGTCAACTTGTAGAACTTATAGACCAATAAATGGGTCGGAGTCAGGTGGACTTAAAATCATATCTGAAGATTCCCCAGAGCTTCTGAGCTAAACCTTTTCATTTGCTGAAGTTCAATCTTAAGAACCTTCATTACAGAGTATAAGCAAAAATACTCTGATTTATTAAAACAAAGCCGTAAGAATGTTCTGATTGATGTTCTTTTCTTGCAGGAGGTTGGAGTGACCACGGAGCCACAGGACAAAGTGTCTGCGCTGAAGAGCCAGGTGGACGGAGTGAAAAACATCATGACGCAGAACGTGGACCGGATCCTGGCGCGAGGAGAGCGACTCGACGACCTCATGGGCAAATCTGAAGACCTGCAGGCCGGGGTCAGTGCTTCACACCCCTGCTACTGACGAGGCTGTTTGGGGAAAGAAAAGAGATGGGGGGGGGGAAATATGAAAAATATGGATTATCTGATCAGATTTATATTGAAGCCACATGCTGTTTAAAGTGAAATGCACTGTAAATGCACAGGTCATTGGGAAATACACACAGGTGAAGAAAGTGCCAGGTTTTGTAATCTCCTTTTGTTCTATTGTTCTAATTGTTTCTGATTTTGCAATTATTGCTGTTGGCAGGGGTTATGTTTTCACCAAGGTTCGTTTGTTCGTCAGCGGGATGTAGTGGTCCCTCACTATAAAGAGGTCCATCTTTCTGTTTTGCTGTGTTTTTGTGCAGTTGTGCCTTTATAGTGTGCTTCTCCTGCGCTGCCTGTATATTTTTTAAATCAGAAGAAAACATTAGTGGCTTGTGTGCACTGCAGAGATTAGTTCAGGACTACTGTGGTCTTCCCGTGGTCTTCCTGCAGTCCTCAGTCCTGCTCCTGCCCCTCAGCGCAGTGTCCTCTGCAGCTGTTTTTTACAGTGTATGCCCGGCCTTTGACAGCTGCAGCAGCACTGCAGGTCATTCTTTAAAATACCTGTGATAAATGAGGGTCCACTGTAACTCAAAGTTGATTTAATGTTTGAGATGCTGTCGATCATTGTCTGGATCCAGGAATGATTTACGGCCTTTTCTTGTTCACACGTATTTCATTGATTGAACAAAATGTTGTTGAACATCTGAATTATTTATTAACTTATCTCAGTATGTTACATATTTTTGATTAATCTTGTTGGTGATGAGTTTTGTGTAAAGAGGAGGAGGAGAAGTGAAGCGTGTCATGAGGGCTCCTGCGTCAGTGAACCAGTCTGACCAGTGTGCGCTGTACTCGGCTCACACTCAGCCTGAGGCTGGAAATATCAGATCAGAATCAGGAGAAAGAGAGATTATTGAGCCTGTGTCTGTTTACTCAGAAACGTCTTCATTTACTCTGTGCTTGTATTCACACTTTTCTTTTGAAGTTACTGTTCTTCCAGAGACAGGCTTTGTCCATCGACCCCAATCTATAAAGGGAATGTGAAAAGCTATTGTTTATGACAGGGTTCCTCACATGCAGGGAATCCAAACCTACTGTAACTAAAACCACTGCAACAAAAACACCCAGCACATTTATCTCAACACTTCTATTGTTTTAGTCAAAATGTAAAACAAAATCAATATTGAAATATAACCAGAGATCTGTGACATAAACTACTGCATTTTATTCTCTAAACATATTTGGAGACGTGCGAGTCTGTGCTTCCTCCTCTGACCTCCTCTTCCTCCGCTCTGTCCTCAGGCACAGACCTTCAAACAGACGTCCACCAAAGTCGCCCGCTCGTACTGGTGGAAGAACGTGAAGCTGGTGGTGATCATCGTGGTGGTGGTGGTCATCATCATCCTCATCATCATCCTCCTGGCCACTGGAGTCATCCCGACCGGCTCATCGATCCCGCCCATTGCCCCCACTCACAAGCCATAAACACTGCAGTAGCAACACGATCGCTCTCTCCTGTCTGGTTCTCAGTTAAGCCCAATGTTATTCAGACCCATTACTGACCCATTTAGATGCTATTTCAAGAGCCTGTTGTAGAACTGGCTCTTGGTGATAGAAAGAGCTAACATTTGTCTTTAGTCTGCTTTCATGTGACATCACAACATTCAAAACGAGCTATAGTTTCACATTGCGGTGGAGGGCAGCTTCCTGGTTACTATGGTTACACTCAAAAATCAGATTTCTTCAATTCGATTACATTCATTTTTGTACCGCCCTAAATCACAACAGCAGTCGCTCGGAGGACTTTACAAAGTTGTCGATTCGCCGAACCACCATTTAGAGATTCAAACAGTTAGAACACAGGGAACGCAAGGATAATTTATGGACTGTCGCAAATGACGAAACCATCATGAATTCTGTCCTGATTTGAGCGACGACCTTCAAAGCCTCGACTAACACATTTACCGTATGAGGCAGACAACCTAATGTACTTCAAGTCAAACGCTAACTATGTATGTGCAATTCTGCGTGGGAACTCAAAGGGAATGTTTAGTTAAAATGCGCACATAATACTGCCTCACAACAAGGATCGGAGCTTCCTGTTTGAACTAGTCCGTCTCGTAATGCAGTGTTAAAACCAGAGATAACTGTTTCCTTACCGTTATCGCTGAAGTAATTATGATAGGATTTCCAAAAGCAGTTCCCGAGGACAATTGTTAAAGCTGAGGTACCTAGATAAATAAAATCCTTGTTCGGCTCTAGCACTAGTTTTCGCAGGCATGTATTGTAGGCCTCTGTCACATCAATGTTATGGATTTTTCACAACAATTTGCTTTTATAAGATTCTTTCTGCTGTATTAGTTTTGAAGTAAGGAAAAAAAAATACTATTTGTTCAAGAGTTCAGGACCACATGACCGCAGCATTGATACAAAAGTCTTAAAAGTTATAAAAAAAACATAGGTAATTCCCCAGCTTTTCCCCCGGCCTCGAGACCATATATGGGCGTCATTGGGCTTAGCTGGACTTGGTTAGAGCTGACCCCGGTCCACGGAGGAGGTCTGTGAATATTGTGGCCTCTGGTTCTGGACAAACATTCAGAACCTATTTTTTGAAGGTTTTCAGTCTTGTTTTGCACAGTGAAAGACGTCGTATTGGTAGTAGCTACGAAATGGATTATGAAATTAAAGAAGAGATCATTTCTAAATTCTTGCTATGTATGTTAACCTTTGTCATACAGACAGACATTATTCCCCTGCTGTCGATATAAAGCCGAAACTTTTTAATATATTCTTTCTCTAGTTTTTTTCTTAGGTATTTTTTTTTCTGAGCCGTGAAATAATCATGTGCTACATCTGATTTTGGTTCTATACTGTTGCACGTGTGAAGAGGAAGTCCGTGGGTTGCCTAACAGGGAAATTTTTTTCAGCTTTTTCAATGGTTTCGCCTAGAAATGCACTTTTTAAATTATTTTTGGGCAAATGAAGTGCACTTGGAACATGGTATAACTGCTTGTTCCCATATTCAAAACATAAAGTGATATTGTGCATTCACTGTATAGAGATGGACAATGCTGACACTCTAGCTCAATGAAGCCTAAAAGGGAAGTGCTCATGGTCGAAGTCTTGCTCCATCTCGCTGTGGCTCCAAACGACTTTCATTGAAAAGTCAGTAACCGTTTGTCGCACTCACCGTTTTGGTTCCTGGCGTTTATATTTTGGTATTGTCCAATCGCATGCCTTCATTTGTGAGAATGTCCCACTTCCCCAGCAACCATCATAGCAACACGTCTGGCCCAAAGCTAACGCAGTCGGAACAAATGCCCATATAAGGAAATTGGCTCCAGCTAGCTTATGTTCTTAAAACGATGTTGTTGTCCCACAACCGCATTTTATTATTATGGTGTAGAATATATATAATGGCGATTAATAAGTAGAAATGGTGCAATAATACAGTAGGATTTTTTTTTTTTTTTTGATGCACAAATCTGTCAGTGGAGTAAATCGTTTGTTCTGTCCCCAAAGGAAGGACTCTGATCTTGCAGCAACTGTGATTCTCCTCAAATTATTTTTTCCTTAATTCAATTTTTTTTCTCTGGTCTCTGATACGTGTTCAATTAAAACAATTACAAAAAGTTTCCCTGAAAACACTTCTGTTACTGCCACCCTTTATCTCTTTCACATAAAGCACTCTTTATAATAAATCAGATTGTCCAGGGGAGTCTCTATATTTATTTCATGTTTTTTGTAATCATTATTAGACACTTTTTTTTCCTTGTTCTGTCAAAGTTAAACATATTTTTGTTTCTTGATTTGACAGATGTAATGTTAAGAACAAATTGATTCTTGTAGACATATTTTTACATATCTATCTTTTACTCCTGTTACGATTCCTAATATATTTTACTTCTGGGTTAAAACCGAAATATGTTTGCCAAGTAAAATTGTATAACCAATTTTAATAAATGGTAAATATTGAATCAAACGCACTGTTGTGTTGTGCTTGTTTTCCACCACTGAAAGGATTCATTCTACAACTGGAATGTAGAGCTTTAATTCTGTTTATGGACCAGTCAGAAAAAAAAGTTTGAAAGTAAATCAATTTTAATTATTAAAGCAGTTTTTTCATATATTGTCACATTCTAGCATGAACACGTAATGCAGCTTGTGGCCACTAGAGGTCCCCGTTCACCCGTCACCACCGTAACCTAGGTGACATTAAAAACATATTCAGAAGTCGTGGGTTTGCTTTGGTTTTAGATCTCTTTATGATACATTGTGAGGTCAATTTATAATATTTAATTCTATGACCCTGAGATTTAGTTTGATTTTGTCCAATCCAATAAGAAGTTGTAAAGATTGACCAGAAACCTTCATTCATGGGGAACTCCAGTTTGCCTTTGCAACCACCTTGTTATTTTGCATATAATTATTTCTATGCTCACTTACTTGCTCGAAATAAATAAATATAAAACCTGGAGCCTGGAGTTTAAAAAGGTACATTTTGGCTGAATCTTGTTTGCGTCGGATTTTGGAAAATTCTAAAATATTCTTATTCTTTCTTTTCATTTGAAATAGAACTCAGGAGGGATATATAGCTCCAGCTTTGATAATGTCAAATGTAAGACTTTAAAGAAGAGGTTTTGTCCATTAAACATAATTATGGGAATATTGACTTTACTAATTATGCACTCATTTGTTTTCATTTGTTTGAATGGCTGGATGTGTTTCTGCTGCTACTGGACTCCTGAATCTCTCCTGCAGGGATCAATAAAGTATCTATCTATGCCTTAGAATGTGTATATATCTGAACAAGAAAAACATAGCATTCTGTGTATAGCTGTAATGAGAAGGAAGAAAGAAGAGTCCTTTACTTTCCCTTTCAATTGTGGATTTCCACGCTGACTTCCTGAAAACAACTTGCTCTGTGAATTTTTGAGTAAATCATGAAAGCTGTTGAGACTTGTTTGTCCTTTGTTTGGCCGTTCGTTTTACTTTCATTTCCCATTGAATTTAAGTGACTGTGACTGAGTTGGTAGAGATTTGGCTTTTCTGCCTGAAGGATGTGGGTTTGAGCCCACCATGAGCATGGATGAACGATCTAAGATAGAGATCAGGATATTTAAGTGTCACACGGACATTCCATAACAGTAAGAGTGAAAATCTAAAAAGAAATATTTGTGTACTATTGTTTAAACAGAAATACAGTATTATACCTTTGAGTAATGGAGAGAATGGATTGAGATGTTAGGGCTTCACGTCATGTCTGTGTTTGATTGAAACTGCCCTTTTTGGACCTTTATATTAGAGGCCGTATTTAGTGTCAGAACTTTAAACAGACATAAAAAGATAACAAAGAATACTTCGTACATATCATTTATTTAAGGAAATCCCTTTGAGATTAGACATGTAATAAATCAGTGCGTACATCCAAACAGTACAAAACATTTACATTATAAAACACAGTACATACAGTAGTAGTTATTGAATGAATAATATATAAAAACTTATGCACTATTATTCGACTGGTCACATAACAGTTCCATTACAGTGGAGAAAAAAGTGTTTAGTCAGCCACTAATTGTGCAAGTTCTCCCACTTAAAATATGTCTGTCATTTATGTCACTAAGAGAGATATAATGCGTGAACAAATCCATAAAATCATATTTATTTCTAAACTATGATGGGGGAAAAAAGCGTTTCTTGATGAAATTTCATTCATTCATTCATTCATTCATTCATTCATTCATTCATTCATTCATTCATATTATTGTCCATTTGCAGTAAAACCCATATTGGAATTCATTTGCAAAAGTCCCCAGTGTGCACAAGTCAAGTGAAAAGTACAATCATTAATTCATTCAAATAAGTATTTAGTCAGCCTGCTTTAGTCAGTCCACTCCTAATACACAGTCTATGGTGCTCCTCCACACAACACAAGCATACACTGGAAATTCAAAAAAAAAAAAAAATCAAATTTGAAGTGTCCTGCATTAGTATTAGCTCACAAATATCAACCTTTAGTGCACCCACCACCAACCAAAAAATACAACAAGACCGACCAGTACCATTATTACTATGCCTAAAACAGGCATAATTGAGCCTATGGTCATTGCAGATCTCGTGCCCGTCTCCTGCTCCGTCAAATGTTCTGTTCTTTTCTCAAAAACTTTACCCTGTCAAAAAAAGAAAAATAAGCACAATTGATATGGTTGATTTACATGTCAGGATTTAATGATAAAAATAAACAACCAACTTCAGATGAAAATTGCTGCATTAAAATATAAATTCCAGTAGTTATAGGAGCAACAGGAGTAGCAGCAGTAACAGCAGCAGTAGTAGTATCAGGAGCTGTAGTAGCAGCAGAAGTAGTAATGCCAGCAGCAGTATCAGTAGCAGTAGCTATAGTGACAGCACTGGCACAAAAGGAGGTGCAGCAGTAGTAACAACAGTATAGTAGAAGTATCAGCAGTAGCATCAGTAGCAGT